CTGCAAATATTTCTCAAATATTCTTATTCATTAATATTCCTGGATATACTCTAATTTCTCTGTTTAAAATATTCTATTTCTCTTTGTTTTTTTTGAGACAGAGTCTTGCTATGTAAATTCCAGGCTGGCCTTGAATTCACAATGTAGTCTGGGGTAGCCTCAAATTCACAGTGATCCTCCTGCCTCAGTCTCCTAAGTGCTGAGATTACAGGCATGTGCCACTACACTCAGCCAAAATATTGTATTTCTTGCGGGGCATGTGGCTCAGTGAAAAGCTACTTGCCTAAAATGTATGAAGCCCTGGGTTTGATCACCAGTACCAGAAAATAATATAAGATAAAATAAAATATTCTATTTCTAACTCAATGCATCCTGTACTGTTACACATTACCTATACATTATTTTAATCTTATCATGGCTACCTAATGGATTTTTTTTTTTTTTTAACTAATGGATTACAAAATGTGGCATGGCACTGTGTACAAAAACACTTTCTGATCATTTCAGAGAGTAAGAAAAGCTGCTTTGCACTTAGATTTTGACACTGGAGTATGAAAAGGTGGTTTGGAATTGTTATCTACAGCACCAGATAACACAGATCCTGGGAATCTAATCACCACAGTGCCCTGGATCCCATCCTCATAGGCTCACACTTACCTGGTCCCATCACTAGAACTTTAAACTCCCAAGTCATTCTACTGTGCGACCAACTTTAAGGACAACTGAACTCAATCACTCTAAAGTTTTAATTAAAACGTTAATTTCCCATGTCTACCCCTCAGCCCCTGCTAATCTCTATTCTACTTTCTGTCTCTATGATTTGCCCATTCTAGATACCTCATATAAGTGGAATCACATGTATTTCCCTGTGTGTCTTGTTTATTTTATTTAGCATAACATTTTCTGCTCTTCAAGTAGAAGAGGCCAGGCTTATGCTTTTTCAAAACAACAAAATCCTCAAAGAATGAAAACTGCTAACTGACTGTTTTCTATGTAAAGCAGGGCAAGCCTCACGAACAGCTTCCTCTTAATGAAGCAATCGCTGCGCTGAATGTTTCTGAAGGCTCCCCACAAAGTGGTCAGGAATTACTATCCCATTGCATCAGCACACCAAGGGACTCGTAAAGCAACAGACTGCCCCAGTGAGAGTATGAGAACAGCAAGTTCAAGAGGGCACAGGGAAGGGATAAGGATAGAGGAGTATATTTTAGCCAGTAGCACCAGGCAGGTCTTTCCAGAGATGATTCTTCTATAATTGTTGCTTGGATCTTTTAAAACACAGATCCCAGCAAGATTTACAACCTCCAAGAACAAGAAATCCTAGAGAACTCCAGGGTGGTAAAAAGCAGACTGATTTTTCCAGGAGCAATATCATATTATTGTAAGGCTCCTCAAGAAACAATGTGGTTCCTTCAACTCAGTGTATTGGAGGGTCGGTGCTAGGGGCCATCGACTGGAAAGGCAGAGCGCAGGGTCCCTCACACTACCGATGCACTATCCGCTTCTGAGACCCCAGGGCCTCCCACACTGACTTAGCCCACCATGCAGCCCAGTATGGAGCATTCCAGAAAACTCTGTTAGCCGGATTTTCAAAATCTCTGAAAAAGGTGACCTCACTGTTTCCTTGTAAATTCTGAGGTTACAGAACTTATCATAAATAATAATTTCTGCTGGTAAGCTTTATCTCCACCTCTTCCAGTTTTAGGGTGGGCTGAAAGATGGGGGATATAGGTAGAGTTCTAGCCCTTTTTTTTTATGTTTTGTATTTTTAGTTTTTTACCTTTCCTTTTCCTTTTTCTTTTATTTTTTTTAAAGAGACAGGGTCTCGCTATGTAGTCCAGACTGGCCTTGAACTTGCTGTGATCCTCTTGCTTCTGCCTCCCAAGTATTGGGACTACCGGAGTGCACCACCATGCCCAGCTCTAGCCACTATTCTTAAAGAGGCCTAAAGTTCTCATTTTAATGCTAGAAGTACTATGAAGCAGCAATGGTGAAACCTTTCAGGGCTTTCCATGACACACACGTCACAGATTAATACCACTGCTAAAGAGCTATGTGGTCTTTTACTTTTTGAGCCATGGAAAATGAGGTTATCAGAATCAGGATATATTTAGCACAGTCAAAACTGAAGCTTTTCAATTAAGCATCTTACTTACAAATAAGGAATTATATTTCCGCAAAACGAAAAACACAAAGCAGAAAAGACAAAAACCAAAGCCAGATAAAACAACCAAAAAAATCCTACAGAGGTGCCTCTTTGTGAATAGGGCAGTTAGTTCTGACAGATTACTCTGTTCTGTTCAGATACTCTGTTCTGTGTAATTTGTGTCTACGTAAGAGATGTTGGGGTGCACACCTGTAATACCAGCACTCTGGGAGGCTGAGGCAGGAGAGCCATCAAGTTTAAGCTCACCACGGACAGTTAGCTACTTAGCAATACCCTGTTCAAAAATAAAAAAAAGTGAGGTGATATAGCTCAATATAAAGGTTGTGGTTTCAATCCCTATTATTGCAGGGGGGAAAAAAAATTCAAGATTAGTCTAGTCTAGCCTTGAATTATATATCCTAGGCTGGTCTCAAACTCAAATCTTCTTGCCTCAGCCTCCCAAATGCTGAAATTACAGTTGTACCACCACACCCTGCTTAGCTTTACACTTACAAAATATAGTACTACTTCATATGAAGTTGCTGCTTCAGACCTAATAAGGAAGAAGAGCGTCCCCTCATGAACAGCAACATCAGTGTCTATACTGAGTGAACACCTGCCCAAGGCACTGGCACTGATTTTGTGAAGTGATTTTGCTTTGATCCTTAGGTCATTTACTGACCAGAATCCATTGTTTAGATGATGAGTGGTTTCAGGTGCTGGGCAGCTGTCTTGCACAGGAGTAAAAAGTAAAAACTAAGTCCTAGCTCTCAATTCTATTGGCAGTACAGATCACAAACAAGTATAGAAGTTAATAGATGAGATCATTTCAGGTAGTGGTAAGTGCTATCCAGACAATAATACCAAGATTGTATTAATTAGTGAGCTGGGGGAGGAGAAAGCTTCAGAAGATGGGAGAATCAAGCAAGGCTTGAATTGGGGATGGTGGCACGTACCTGTGAGCCCATGTACTCAGGAGGCTGAAGCAGGAGGCTCAAGGCCAGCCTGGCATACATAGTAAGCCAAACCAAGCCAGGCCAAGCCAAAGAGCTGTCTCAGGGACTTTGCATTAGATACAGTCAGTCACACCAAGATCCAAGAGAACAATGTTTTGGGCAAAGGGAAGAGCAAAAGTAGAAGCATAGAGTTGGGGGTGTTTGAGAAAGAGACCATCCCTGTAGCTCAGTGACTGAGTCAGGAGGAGAGATGAGTGTGGAAGAGGCCAGGTTATCTGCTTTATTTTGTTTTTTGAGGCAGTCTCTGTTTAGGCTGACCTGAAACTCATGGCGATCCTCCTGCCCCAGCCTCCCGAGTACTGCAATTACAGGCATGCACCACTGTGCCTAGCGGGAAGAGGCCAGATTATCCAGGGCATCCAAGGTTTGGGATCTGATTGTAGAAACAGTGGGATGCCATTAGAGGGCCAAGACCTTTTTGAAGAATCTTTATGCTGGCCACATAGAGAGTGGCCTGCAGCAGAGCACAGGGGTGCAGGGAGGGTTGGCACTGAAACAGCACTAGGAGTGGTATTAAGGCTGGGGTGCACGTGCTGACAGAGCTGAGAAAAACAGGCAGCTTCAGGTGAAGGGGGCAGGGGCAGAAATAGGGATCACTCCCGTTCTGGAACTTGAGCAACCAGAGGGATGGTGGTGGCATCAAGTGACACGGGGAACAAAAGGGAAGGAACAGAGTGGGAATGGAGTGGGGACAACCAAAGGTCCCGTTCAGAGTGTTCTGGCTACTGGACATTTCAGTGGTTCAAAGCTGGGTGCAATGGCACATAGAACAGGAAGCCCACAAATGAAACCACTTAGAGAAGAATGCAGGACAGAGCAGACCGCTAAGGCCTGGGCTTGGAGACACACCAACAGTGATGAGGTGAAATGAGCAAGGGGAATGATAAAAAAAACGCTGAGAAGCAGCAGCCAGTAAGGTAGAAGGATGTCCAGGAGCATGGAGTCATGGAGACTGAAAAAGAGGAATGTATGAAACCAGGTGTGGTGGTGCACACCTGTAATCCCAGCACACAGGAGGCTGAGGCAAGAGGACTGCTGTGAGTTGAGGCCAGCCAGGGCTACATACTATGTTCAAGGCTAACTTGAACTACATAGTGAGACCCTATCTCAAAAGACAAAAAACAACAACAAAAAATACAAATAAGTTTTAAGAAGGAAGGAGTAATTGACTGAGTTAAATACTGTTAAAAAGCCCAATAATAATAAGGAAAGAAAACTGACAACTAAATTTAGCAAGACAGAAGTACACTAACAAAGAAGTGAGATGGAAAATATGTTATAAAAATATTGATTTTGACCAGGCTGTTACTTAAACATAAAAGGGACAACCTCAGCAAAATCACTGAGGCCCATGATTACCAGGCTAAGCACATTCTGACGTTCCTTCTCAGATGAGGAGGGCGGCACTGAGGGATTCAGGATGGCGTCCTTCTGAGCTCTGCGTCCTTATTCCCCAGGGAACAGCATCACTTGGCAATAGTGTGATGGTATCCAGAATTTACATGGAAGAGTAGCAGCTCAGCCCAAGAGACCAAAACCTGCCCCACCTGACTGTGACTCGCTGTCACATTCTCCTATTCAGATCAACCCCAAGCTCCAAGTTTTTTGCTCCAACTCAAAGGCCCCGTGAGAGGAAAGAATGGACAGTGAAGGAGGAGCCCCATGCACACCCTCGGGTGGGAGTGCCTGTCTAGCGCCGCCCTCCCTTCTCCAGGACTGCTGCCTCAGGCCACCCTCCAATCTGCATCTCCTCCCTGTCACATCACTGCGTACAAGGCTAGGAAAGTGAGCCTCTGGCCTCTGGCCTCTGCGTCTGCGCCTGGCTTCCCGCCCCTTACCTGGGTCATTTTGTCCACAGAGACCGGAATCCCATCGATGGTGAGAGGCGGCAGCTCAGAATTAACCTCCTGTGGCGCAGGGGCGTGTTCTGCCAGTGCCGACTCCAAGTCTTCCAGGATCATGCTCTTGTACTTTCGCACCTGCAGGGAATTAAGGGCAGAAGTAAACAAGCTGCCCAACTACCAGGGTGGACTAGTGCTAGGCAACAGCAGGGTGGGTGGGGCAGGCTTTCCTGAGCCACTGCAGAGCCCTGAGAGCAAACACTCCTGCAACTCGCTGGCCCCGAAGACATTGCACTGAACAGAATTAATGATGATGGAATTACAGGGACCAACAGCAGAAAGAGGTGGCGGGGCAAGTTTTATGGAAACATTGTTCCCCCGTTAAACTCACACTGCCTCAGGCAACAGGAGGCCGTCACCTGCTCAGGATGCACCAGGAATGGCAATCATTATTCTGCATGTCCCAGGCCAGGTGATAAACATCTGGCTGTGGCAGTTAATTGCCAAAATCATTTTCAAGATCCCTTCGGACTTTTCTGTAAAATTCTAAGTAACCTGTCTGAAAGTGCTGCTACTTTTCCACAGACAAGACCACCAGACAGGTGAGAGGCACTTGCACAAGAGGCTGAATTGAGAAGAATCAAAATTGAAAGCCAGAGGTGTTTACTGTAGCTGAGCATCAGAAGTGTGCTCCCAGCAAGGCCTGGGGCCAGAGAACCCACAGGTCACATCCCGCTCCCTCTGGTCCTCTCTGGCCACACACGGGAACTTCAAAGCAGCGAGGCTTCTGCAGTACTTGCTCATGTCCAAACCAACTCTTGCAACAAGAGTGAATGTCCAGAAAGAGAGCCCTGCAGCTGTGGCACAGGATGGCCCAGGTTCCGAGGAGCAGGATGGCGGGCAGACGCCGGGCCCTGCAACCACCCATAGCCGGCTCACTCTCTTGGAAGAGTACACAAGGTGCACAGGACACCTCACAGGGTAATAAGAAAGCCACATAATTATGGAAATGTGACAAAAAATGGCCTTCAGGATTCAGGCATCAGCTCCCATTAAAAAGGGAAGAGAAGAGAAGGTTTGCCCAGAAGTTCTGGCACTGTTCGAGGCCTGCGTGTTCTGCTAAATGGACTGGACTCTCAGTCAAGACACAGTTCCTTATTAGGACTCATCCTGAAGACCATATAAGATTCCCACATTTTACCCTAAGCATCTGGAAAAGTCAATATTGTTGGCTTGGTGATACAACTTTTCAGTTAAAGAATCCTCCCAATAGGTCCATAACTTAAGAGGGTGAAGGAAAAATTGCACAAACTAAATACCCATTATCACTCTATCCTGTTTCTAAATATAAAACTGTCAGTACTCTGCCAGCAGGGTGTGGTGGCTTATGCCTATAATCCCAACTACTTGAGAGGCAGAGGCAGGAGGGCTGCAAGCTTAAGGCCTACCCTGGCAACTTAATGAGACTCTGCCTCATATAAATGAATTAATAAAATAAAATTTTAAATAGGGCTGGGGGTGTGTCTTTGTGGCCAAATACTTGCCTAGCATGCACAAGACTCTGGGTTCAATCCCCAGCACCAAAAAAAGAGAAAGAAAGAATTATGTTTATTTTTGTTTGTTTGTTGTTGTTCTGAGGCAGAGTCTTATTGTGTATCATAGGCTGGCCTTGAACTTGCTTATATAGCCCAGGCTAGGCTTGAACTCACGGGGGATCCTCCTGCCTCAGCCTCCTGAGTGCTGGGATTAAAGGCATGCACCACCACACCTGGCAGAACCATGTTTATTGTAACATCATTGGTACTGCTATAATTGCAAGTCTACAGGGTTACATTTTTTGTTTTCTACATTTCTCTATTCTATGTAGAACTTTTATGCTACCAACCCATAGAAATGACTGGCTTTTTTGTTTTTTTTTGGGTACCGGGAATCAAACACAGTATCTTGCACTTGCCAGGCAGGCACTGTACTGCTGAGTTATATCCCTGGCAAAATGACTGACACTTTAAGTTTGGGTTTGGTCTTTGAACTTATTAGGATAGCATGTTAAATCCTTATCGTGGGTGTGGGCCCATAGTAAAAATGAATGATAAGAGTATAAAACATATCTCATGTGCTAGTAATGTCTAACACTCAAAGATGAGCACTCATAAATTTATTAGAATTACACTAGCTAGTTTCAAACAATTTCAGCCATTTTTATGAATCAGTATAATTCTAAAAGTTCACCTCCTGGTGTCTTGCTAAACTTATCCATGCTACATAATTCTTTAAAAATATTTTGATTTTTAATAAAAATGTTTCAGAATAATTCGCAACCAAACAACTTCAGGGCTGACCCTGGATGGCACTGCTCTCTAAACTAAGTAACTTTCCACAGTCACAAAGCTAGTGTTTCAACACTCCAATCTCTCAGCTCTGAGATGTGTTTCCTCCCACCTTGACTGTCTTGTGAAACGTCTGGGGGTATGGCTGTCACTCCCGCACATGTGACCAGGGCTCAGCCCTGGACACACACATCCACCCTTGCCTTTCAGCCAGTAATCACTCGGCACCATCTGAGAAAGGAACGTGAGCGCTGCCTGCTGTGTGATATCCTCCCAGCAGCAATTTCTGCTAAGACCAAGAAGCAACAACATCAGACTTGTGGTAGGCTGGGAAAACAAAACCCCAAGAGATTTTTAAAGAACTATAGAAATACCCATGCTCTTGGTGGCAAGAATACAGTATTACACGAAAAACCATTGACAACTGACTGAAACAAGAAATTAAAAGACATGGATTGGATGTGAAGAAGTTTCAGGAATATCTTATTTCCCTTAAAGTTTCCTTTTTATGTTTAAATAGAAGTGATACACTTATTGGAAGAGTACACAATAAATAACAACTAAGTGTACAATAAAAATCCTAGGTGATAAGCAGTGTGTCAGAGTTCATCAATATTTTTTCTGTCTTTGTAGTATAAAAACGCTGGTGCATCTTACAGGTGATATCACACACAGGACAAAATACAAGTTCCTCTGTGTTTCAACTTCTGCCTTCTATTCCCATATCAGAGTTAGGCCTTTGTCACTTCACACCTATACTATGTCAATGAACTGGTTTCACCATTAAAGTAAAAACCATTGAAAATCAAAGCCAGCTGCCAATCTCTCTTCCCCCAGTTCACCCTATACACTAACGCCATTTGAAGTTTTAGAAACACTTGTCATCATCAAATACCATTTACTGAGCACTTACTATGCCCCAAGCACCACTGTATATATTGTCTTAATCCTTATACCACTGCGTGTGTGCATGTGTTACTGAGGACTGAACCCAAGGCTTTCACAATGAGCTAACCCAGACTTTTTAAATTTTTATTTTGAGACAAGGTCTTGCTAAACTGCCCAGGCTGGGCTCAAATTTGAGATCCTCCTGTCTCAGTCTCTTAAGTAGCCTCATAATTCCACAAGAAAAATACTATTATGCCCACTTTGCAGATAAGAAAATTGAGGCTTAAAAAACTTAAGTAATTTCCCCCATAACATAAAGCTGGTAAGATATATAGCTGCAAAGCAATGTAATTTTTATCTAGCTCTAAAGTGCAAATGTTCTACTTTATTCTCATCTCTCTTTCTCAAAAAACTGTTTCCATTTTTTACAGGATGAAGTATCAGCTTCTCAGCCCAGCATTTCAACATCTACAATCACTGTCCACTTTTCTCATACTCCTCTGCCATCAGATACAGCTGGGTCTGTCCCCCCTTGGGGACACCTGAATGGCACCATCTTGGGTTCCTGTTACAGTAGCCCACCTTATCGATGGTTTCAGTTACCCACAACCAAGCATGGCCCAAAAACATTAACATTTGCCTGCATTCTTTCAAGAGAGAAACCACACTATCATAATTTTATTATGACCTATTGTAATTATTCTATTCTTAGCTAGTGTTAATCTCCTACTCTAACGTACAAAGTAAGCTTTGCCATGGGTGTGCACAAGTAGGAGAGGACACAGTATACAGAGCTCAGTGCTGCCCTTGGCTTCAGGCATCCCCGGCGGGCCTAGCACGCATCCCCGGGGATTGGGGATCAATGCATAACCACAGAGCCTCCTGGGCGCTGCTCCCTTACCTCTTGCTTTAGCTGGCCAAGCCTCCTCCTTCACCCTTGTGTACTTAACAAGTTCTTTTCTGAGTCTTCAATTCTGCTGCTTCTCCAAATAGCATCCATATTTTAAGGTCTAACTAAATTTCCACCATTTCTGAAAAACCTTCAGCTCCTGCCATATTCTCCGTGAAATTCCCAGTCTAAATGGTGATGTGTCACATATGCTGCTCCCAGAGCACATCGCTGAAACCACATGTGGGACTGCTAACACACGGACCAGGTCTTTTGTTTATGTTTTTAATATACATCGTGAAATACTTCACATATTCAGACATGTACAGTACTTTCACAAACATTCTCACATTTACCAGAGATGGAAGGTGTTTACAGAAGTCATTAGGATTCTGGGCACACAATTTGCTTGTATAAAATTCAGAAACTGGCTGGTATAACTAGAGCATTGGGCCTTTATTTAGGCTACAAAATCAGTCCCACACAGGACTCCACATTTCTTCCATATTTCTGGTGCTTTTCTGGATACAAGAGGGGTTTTCAGGAAGATCCCATAAAAGAATTTTTAAAAGTTTATAGGTCTGTGTGATGGCACGTGCCTGTAATCCCAGTACTTGGGAGGCCGAGACAGGAAGATTACTGTGAATTGGAGGCCAGCCTGGGTTATAATGTGGGTTCAAGGCCAGCCTGAACTACACAGTGAAACCCTGTCTCATAAAAAAAAAAAAAGTTTATAGTTGGGCATGGTGGTGATGCATTCCTGTAATCCTAGCACTCTAGGAGCCTGAGTTAGGAGGACCATGAGTTTGAACCCAGTCTGGTCAACTTAAGAGATTTAGCAAGACTCTTCCTCAGAAGTAAAAAATTTAAAAAGGGCTGAGGATGTAGCCCACTGCACAGGCCCTGGGTTTATCCCTAATAGGGGGGGAAAGATCCCTCAACTAGCTCCTCTGAGATGAACAATATATTGTGGCCCTGGGTATAGAACTAAGAGCTGCCCTAGGACAGAGCTGGGCTCAGACCTGTGATTCTAC